GTGGGGGAAAGCAGGAGGGTAGTCCAACAGAGTACCCTGCACTCCAGGTGGAGAGGTTGGAAGACGTTTGGTTTGTTCGCTTTATAGTATGGGAGATTGAACCCAGGGCCTTTGTAGTGAGCTACATGCCGGCCTTTTACAATTTTGAGATAGAGCCTTACTAAGTTGCCCGAGGTAGACTCGAACTTGTGATTGTCCTGCCTCAGCCTCCTAGTGTGCTTGCACTGTTAGCATGCATCCCTGTGCTGGCTGGGTTTGGCAGTATTTTTTTTTTTTTAGCAGAAAATATTTATTGAGAGAAAGAAAGCTCCTGTCCAAGAGAAGGACATGAGGGGGGCCCGAGCAGGTAGTTCCCCCCGGTTTGGCAGTATTGATGTTACTGTTTCTCTGCCCCTGGTAAAGATCTATCATGTGGTACTTGATTTGGTACTTGTAGATTACTCAATTGGAAAGGGATGAAAAGCTCCCTGCTCTCGGCTTCACCATGTGCTGAAACCCTCGCGCACACAGTGTGAGCAGCTCTCCTGCTTCTACTTTGCTCACATCTGCCTTTGGGCTACTCTCTGGCTGTCTGCGTTGCTGCTGCAACTACTCTGCCCTTTGGCACCGATGTGCCCTTTGTGCTCATGAGTGTCTGTCCTCTCTGCTTCCTGTCCCCTGCAGACTGCCACCCCCTGTGCCAGCACTGCGTGGCAGATCTCCAGGACACCAGGAGCATCTGCCTGAGGTGCCAGAATGCCCGCCATCTGCTACTGGGTGACCACTGTGTTCCCCACTGCCCTTCTGGATACTACTCAGAGAAGGGTGCTTGTAAAAGTGAGTAAGTGCTGGACCAGGAGCCAGAAACTTCTCGTGAAGCTTTTTCTTCAGGGCTGGAGCCTAGGAGGTTGCATTTCCCAAAGCAAGAGGAGGCAGGAAGCCCATGGGGGGTGGGGAACACGTTGGGTGCCCCTCCCACTCTTTGGGAAGGGAGCCTGGCACCACAGCTTCTGTTTGGTCTCCTTTCCCTCTACAGGATGCCACTCCTCCTGCAGGACCTGCCAGGGAGGAGGACCCTCCGCCTGTTCTTCTTGCAGCACCAACCTTGTTCTGACCCACATTGGCACCTGCAGCACCTCCTGCTTCCCTGGACATTATCTGGATGACAACCGAGCTTGCCAGCGTAAGTGTTTTAACCAAGCTTCTCTCTGCTTCTGCCCTTTCAGTCCACTGGAAGAAATGTGAAGTTCCTGTTTTCTATCTTCTCTCTTACTAGCCTTTATTTTTCTAAATGGAAGGAAACTAAATTGCAGAGGCAACGCGGATGCCATCAGTAGACTGTAATTCAGATTTCAGGCTGGTTCTCCTCTCTCAGTACTAGCTGCGTCTGTGATCATAGGCAGGTTGAATTCTCTGTTCCAGTTATCTCACTTGTAAAATAAATATTAGCCTGATTCACCTTTGTGATTTTTCACAGCTGTCCAGTTTGTAATCCTGGCCAGAGAATGGAACTGGCTGAAGAACACAGGCAGAGGCTGTGTAGTCCGCACTTTTCTGGATTTAATGTTTTTTATTTGTATATTTGTTGAATATTGACACCATACAAGCCTTTGCATGTTTCAAAACAGTCCAACTATTTCTGTGCCCAAAGTAGTCATTGTATCTTCATAACATGTATAGATGTCTCCTTTCTCAAATAAGTCAGTCTATGATTGATTTGCCTTGTGTTGGGAAATGAACTGGGATCAGTTATGGAAAGGGCAGACCAGAAGGGGACAAAATAGGGAATCCTTCGCAGATGAATAGTTTCTGATCAGCTGGGAGGTAGCTCACTTTATTTCATCCTCTAAAGTGGCATTTTGAAAAAAAGTGTGCCCCACTTTTAAAAATGACAGTGAACAAATACGAGTGGTGGTGTCTCACTTTCGTGTTCCAGGAAGTAACATGTGGTGGCGATGCAGAGGAGTGACAGAGAGGGCAAGCTGTGGGGTCGTGAGTCTGAAGCTCAAACCCTAACTGCCACTCACAGTGAACTGCCACTTTAGGGACTTAAGCAGATCAGTTAATCTCTGGGCCTCAGTTTCCTTTTCTGTGCTAGAGGGATTATAACAATATCTCTGTTCTAGTTGCACTGAACACAGACCCTAGTAGAGATGAAGGTCCCACTTGGTATAGATTAACTGTTGTTATCACTGTCATCATCTTGAGCATCATTGGCATCATTATCATCTGGAATGAAAGGCAAATCATGCAGCAGAAGGTATTTATACAGACAGGTAGATATTCCTGTTAGCTCATTGAGTGTTTGTAGGCATGTGCCTTTGAAAGAAAGCCCTGTGAACCTCACACTTTTGCATAGCCTGTTGAGACAATAACAGAAAACTTTACGAAACCAATAGGAAGATTTTTTTGCTTTTATTTTGTTTGGGTTTATTTATTTGTTAAGACAGAGTCTCATTATGTAGTCTAGACTGGCCTTGAATTTGCTTGTATAACCCAGGCTGGTCTGGAACTCACAGTGGTCTTCCTGCCTCATCCTCCCAAGAGCTGGGATGATAAGTGTGTGCCACCATGCCCAGCTAGGTTTCTTGACTTTTAGCAAGAAAAATTTTGCAAGTTATATAGCAGCTGTCTGCCAGAATCTGTGCATCCTGAAATGCAAGAGACAGGAATGAAATACTTTCATGTTCTATTCAAATGCAAGAGAGTATTGTTGGAGAAATTCTGACTTGGATTTATGAGGATCTTCACAGCAGTGGAATCATAGAAGTTCAAAAGGGAAAATAGAATCCCTCGTATGAAGTATAGATGACAAAAGTGCATCACGTTGAAGTACTTCTCTGTGGGGAAATGTTGTCTCATCGCTCTTGGCTCCTTCGCTGTGCCCCAATGTGAGCAGGATCTCATAGGCTGTTTCACTTGAATTAAGAAGCTCCTGCCTTCAGTCCTTCAGGTTCATTCTTTTTAAGATTGGATAAAGTAAGCCCTTAAATTGGGATTTTGGAGTTTCTAGCCTGTAAAAAGAATCAACAGTGCCTCTTTGTAAGGCTCACTATTATAGGCAATTATAGGCCTGCCAGTTTTATAAATTGTTCAGCAAAGGGCTTCTGAGGAAGTATAACCAGTATTACAGGAGGCAATGATAACTGTATTATTAAAGAAAGTAAGGACTAGTGAGCATTCCAGACTCTGGGTACAGAAATCTTTACAGATTTTGTACTATTAACTGAGCTCTAAAATTTAAGGGAGAACAATTTGGGCCAAAACTTTAAAAAGTGCTGCTGACTAAGCACAGCGCCTTGCAGTTGGAGCGGAGCTCCAGGCTACTCGAGCCAACCTTGCATCAGCGCAGACAGGCTTCCTCTCTCTTCCTCTCGTACCTCTGCTAGAACCATCACCAATGTGGCTGCCTCAGACTGTTCCTCCTGATCAACCCTAGAAACTGTCTGTAGCAATAGAAAAATAAGCCTCCTCCCCCATTCACATGCATACATTCAAAGGTTAGAAGTCAACTCTTACTTCCCACCTGGACATCTCTCATTCCCCAGCAGAACTGGAGCCAGCAGACTGAGCAGAGGTCAGTAGTGGCTCTCAGACCCACAGAAAACACCTAGGGAACTACACATGCTGGGAGGGCCTCACTCTTCCTCCTTGAACATTGGTGACAGCACCCTGCCTGGTTGCTGTTCTACCTGCCACTTTCTCCTCCTGGCACTCCCCCTGGTGCTTAGTGACCTGCAAGACCTGCCCTGGGGGCCTTAGACAGAATACTTGGTATGGTGTGAGTATGGGAAGGATGAAGGAGTGCTCCTTTGCCACACACCTCTGGAGATAGAAGATGAGGACCCAAAGGCCTCTTCTGAGTACACAGCTACTGTGTATGACATGACAAAGGTGACCATTGGCTGATTGCCTTAGGAAGGAGAACAGGAAGGATGGAGATAGGGTGGCATAGGTACATCCTTGTACACTGCAGAGTCATCTAGCATTTCAGAATGTTCAACATAAGGGCTGACTTACACACTCAGGTACCACAGGCGGATAGAAACTGCATACAAATAATTTTAGGTGGAGAGAATGGGGAAAATATGGAGGGGCAGTGTTTGCAGAAATGATGGCTGGAAAATTTTCAGGATTAAAAAAAGATAATTGAGTTTGTAGGGAAAGTGTATTCTGTGACCCGAGTGATCTGAATAAACCCCTTTGGTGGGTGCATGGGAAGCAGATTGCAGGGGCTCAGCCTGGGCGTGAGGAAGCCAACCAGGAGGCTGTGACAGGAGTCCTGCGAAGACAGTCGTGGCTTGGGTATGCTGGATGGTGTGGGTAGGGATGAAGCACAAAGTTCAAGGAATTATGTTAAGAGTTTGAATACTTAGGACCAAGTGAGTAATTGGATTAGAAGTAAAAGAAAGAGAAACACTAACACGGACACCAAGATTTCTAGCATGAGCAACTGAGTATCTCGAGCAGGGCCAGGTATTAGAGGAGCACCATCGAAGTGGTGGGTCACTAATTACACAGCTGGCTGCTAAGAGCTACAGTTGGGCAGACTAATAAACTGAGTAAGCTGAGTCATTTGTGTCTTGCATTATGGAACTTCATAAGCTCCATGATAAAGTTGCTGTTTAATTTTGTCATTACACACACACACACACACACACACACACACACACACACACACGAATCTCCATCATAAACTATATATGGCTTGTTTCCTTAAGAAGTAAGATAAGTAAGTAAAAGTAATTCAAGGAGTCTTAGGGTAAGTACAAATTCTGTAGTGGAATTACAGATTCCCATCCATGGGTGTATAATTTATCCATAGGAAAACCAGACTATCCTCTTTTATTTTGGAAAATAAAAACTAATATTTTCTATATCTGCTGCTCACCCAGGAGGGTTACAAGTCGTAATTGGCAGGTTGGAACAGGGCTCTCTTCCTGTGTGGCAGCTGCCTGGGCTTCATCAAGGTACTGCATTTGCGATTGTAATCATCCGGTCACTTTCCTCTGGCTCTGCAGCGTGCGACACACATTGCCGGAGCTGCACTTCACCTACCAGCTGTACCTCCTGCCGAGATCCCAACCACGTGCTGCTCTTTGGGGATTGCCAGTCGGAGAGCTGTGCCCTGCAGTACTACCTTGACATATCCACCAGGACGTGCAGAGGTAGAGCTCCTCCTGAGTTGTGTATGGATTCTTTTATTCAGTGATACCCTATTTACCAAGGTACCCCAGTGCCCCTATAGGAAAATGCCCTCAAGAAATGTGTTGACTGTCTCTGATGATAGCATGAATTACATATTCGTTTATTCACTTATTTATTTGCTTATATAGTTCTTTTTTAAAAATGTATTTGGCACAGGGTCTCACTATGAGCCCAGACTTGTAGTGATCCTTCTGTTTTCAGCCTTCCCAGCGCTGGGATTGCAGGCATGTGTCACCATGCCTGGTCTCATTTATTTGCTTATAAAACACATTTTTAGCACCCACTGTACATTAGGCACTGTGCCAGGCACTGGTAGCTGGACCAGAAATGGCAAACTGGAAACCTCCAGCATGTACTTGGCCTATAGACATGTTGTGTTTGGCCTCTTGAATGTTTTGATAGTTTAAAATCTGATTATTTGCCTTTTATAAATCAAAAGACTGTGTAGAAAAGTTGGTGATTTTTTCTTCCTTTGGAAAAATCAGAAGATCTGGCAGTACTGGCTTTGCCTGACCACTGTGCAAGGACAAGGACCGTGTAGCTCTCTTCCCCACTGGATGGAGCAGTCTCTTCACCCAAGTCCCCACCATTCCCTGTTCTATGGCAACAGGCCTACTACCTTCTGGGGCCCTTAGGTGTTTGCATTTACAGTGCTAGCTTGCTAGACTCTAAGCATAAGGAGGTCAGGAGTTAAATCTGATTTATTTTTCTCTGCTTGAACAATGCAAATATGATTGAAACCAATGACCCTGTCAACAAGGAATTTATAAGGAGTTAATTTCCAAAACCAAGGCCTTTTCCCTTTGTGTTCCAATAGCTGGAATTCTTGGCATTTTTGCTCTTTGAATGGTAATGTTCAGTAAGGTGAAAAAACAGAGCTAAAAACAAGTTTAACTTGATTCTGTTCTATGTCCCCCCTTATCCTGGCCTCTTTCCACATTTCCCTCTCTGCCTCTGGCTCTGGCGGGGAAGCTGGAGCTCAGATAGAGAGGTCAAACTTCTGTCAAATGAGCTTGGGATACCTTGAGTCTCAACAAAATTGAGCATTTTCCACTCCAAGAAATTCTACGTGGTTGTCAACTTTGGTGGTCTACTGTACTGAAGACCATGGAAGCCTCTCTGCTGCTTGCCTTCTAACCAGGGCTGTCAGTTTGTGGTGAAAAACAAGATTATCACAAATCCTCCCTGTTGTAAATGATTTCATAACTGTGCTGGCAGGTTTCAAGGCTGTGTTTTAGTCCTTTTCCCCCAGGACTGAGTCAGCCAAATAAACAAGTGAGATTAACTTTATAAATCTTGGGAGCGCGCGTACTGTCTTGCACATTCTTCCCTGCTCTTCGGGACATGGAAATAACGGCATCAGGGAAGAGAAAAGGTGAACAGTGAGACTTCTCCCTGGCTTCTTAGAACAGAGCGAAAGCATGGTTGAGGCAGCTATGAGTGCAGATATTTTCTCTAGGAAAACAGCTCGATAGCAGACATTGACTGAGCTATTAGTATATGGCAGGCACTCCACCAAATTATTCATTTATTATTCACTTAGCACTAGGGAACCCAAGACCTCACATGTACTAAGCACCTATTCAACCCTTGAGCTACACGCTCAACCCCAGTGTTAAATCCTTACCTTTATCATTTTTCTTATTCTTCACAGACTTTATGATTTGGGTACTATGTTTGTCCCTGTTTTATTGAGGCATCAAACATTTAAGGAAGGTATATGAGGGGATGGAGCTAAAAAAATAACAATGCCATGACTTAGCCAACAGCTTGGCTTCAAAGCCCACGTCCTTAACCATGCTCCATGTCCCATCTTCTATACCTGGGGGACTTCCTTACTAGTTAGAACACTGGTATTGTACATGCTTTAGAATTGCCTGGAACACTAAAGCCAACAGCTATGTACCATAACTACGATGACAAAAACAAAAGCAGCGGCAGCAGCAGCATGTTTTCCTGTGGCTTAACCCCTGAGACTCTGCCTCTGATGTTGAGCTTGATCCTCTGTGTTTTTGACAGTCGTCCTGCATTATCTGATTTAGCCAAGGAGAGGCCCTGCTGAAGCACGAGCTCCTTGAAGGCAGGTCCTGCATTCATACCCTCCTTGGGCACTGATATGTTTCCCATGAGGGTTAAGCAAATACTCATGTAAACCAGTCAGTTCCACGGCCCTAAATGGGTCCTCCATTGCTTCCCTAAGATGTTTCTTTTTAGACAGTTGCTTTATGCTACATTAAAGCCTATCGTCATTGGTTCTTTCTGTTGTATTACCAATGCCTGAGTTTTTGAGAAGTAGAAAGTCAGTGATAGCAGCAGATCCCTGGCATCTCCTGCCCCGTTGAGCACTGAACATTTGGAAGAAGTCAGGATTAGGTAGTGGGACATGTTGGCCACTCCCTATGGCGAGGTTTGCAGGAAGACTTGGCATGGTGTGTGGGATAAAGTACCCCGGAGCCTGTGGGATGAGACCAGGTTGATCTGGCGCTGGGAAGCCCTGCTGACCGACAGACTATGGAAACACGGAGTGTACCTTGTCCGTGCCTGTGTTTCACATAATGGGGAAACACAACCTCAGAGAAGCATCCAGGTCATTGCAGGCAGAGGCCTCATTACAGCTCGGTTACCTGACATTGCTTGTGTCGTCCTCACATTACCCCTTGCAGCTGCAGACAGCAGCCTCAAAAATAGGTTGTGGGGCCTGAGGCTGGATGGCAAGCAAGCTGATCTAACACAGACTTCCTCTGCAGAGTGTGACTGGAGTTGCAACGTGTGCAGCGGGCCTCTGCGAACAGACTGCCTGCAGTGCATGGACGGCTATGTTCTCCAGGACGGCGCCTGCGAGGAGCGGTGTTCATTGTCTTTCTACCACGACGCGGGCCTCTGCAAGAGTATGTGTTTGGAGGCCACATTCCAGCACACCCCTGTCGTGGCCTCCTCGATTTCTAAGAAGGGCCCCTTGACAAGTCTCCCTTCTGCTTTTTACCCAGTTTTGGTTTTTTCCCTAAGAGCTATCTGTGTCATGAAATTTCCCTTTTCCTTCTCTGTTCCCTTACATGACATACTAAAATTGGATGCCACTATGGGAACCTGGGGTTAAATGGCCACAGGTATGTGTAGGATGTTATTTTTGGCTTTCTTTAAATCTTGAATCATCCTATCCTCCAGATGGGAAAGTCTGTGTACCTGGGGATCAGGGCGCTAGAAATACCATGTTAGTCTACCATCTGCCTCCCTGCCTCCTCCGCATGTCCTAGGCCTCACCGTCACCTCTCTCTCCACAGTAGCTTCTAAAGCCGCAGTGTAACACCACAAAATCCTCAGATCCTGCAGTTCCTATCAGAAGTGCACAGAGAGCATTCCTGGTTGCATTCCTGAGAGACTGATAATTGCCTGGATAAGGCAAGAAAGAGCAACACTTCAGCAAAATACTACGGAAAGCCCATGACTAGTTAATAATAACATTAATCACTCATAGCTGTCAATTACTGTAGAGTTTATCTAGCATTTTCCAGTACTTAATTGGATCTTTACCCAAGGAGATATGTGGGGCAGTATTTCTACCCTGTTTTGTAGGGGAGAACAGAGTTCCATAGAGGTAGAGAGACTAACCCCTAGTCTCCTAACTCTTAGGTGATGTGTCACAAGTGTCACTTCGACACTTGTCCTGGCTCCTTTGCTTTTCATGGGATGCTTTATTAGTAGGCCAGGGTGTATTGCTATCTGATGTCTAGCACTGCCCTCCCACCAGAGCTCCCTTGGGAAGCTACAGATTCTTGTTGACTTTTGTCTTTCAGGCTGTGACAACCACTGTCTTCAGTGCCAAGGTCCCTACCAGTGCACCCACTGTGAAGAGCCATTTCTCCTCTTCGAAGCCCAGTGTGTCCAGGAATGCGGGAAGGGATATTTTGCAGATCATGCAAAACACAAATGCACAGGTAACGCGAGTCTCTGTCGAGTACTCTGGGAAGAATACGGCTGATGAGTAAGTTGTGTGTGCTGAGTCTAGGATAACGAAGAATATCCGAGACAGATGCAGAATTAAACTCCATGGAACTTAGCTGAAGTAACTGATGGCTTCCCATGCACATCTGCCAAATTCTGGTTAAACAATATAGGAGTGCAGCCCAATAATTCTCTTACACAGATCAATAATGTCCCTATAGGTCTTTATGGAATAGCCACTGTTTTATGGGCATATAAAGTTATATTGAACTGCAATGAGGTATCTATTAAGAGTGGATCAGCTATATTGATATGAATAGAAAATTTTCAGTGTGTAGACTAAATCACTTGTGACCCTGATATTGGTATTATATTTTCAAAGAATAGGATTTGGGGGAATAATTTATTATGGCACACTGGAGCTTTTATTATTAAAATAAAGTGAAACACAGTCTTAATCTCCTTGGATCATCAAGAAAATTTATCTTTTGTTTTCATCATTTCTATAAAAACTTGGCACCATCTGTGCCTCTTGAAAGGATGCCTGACATTTAACAATAACACCATTACCCAAAGCATACCATTCTCCCTTTCACCAAACTTTCTTCATCTCTATTATCTCATTCAGCATTTACAATGACTTAGTAAGACATGGAAAACATTATGAATCCTCTTTTACAAGTGGAAAAAAAGAAAGACTTAAAGGTGTTAATCAGTGCAACCTCTAATCAGATCTTAAACCCAAGTTTTCTGACTCTAATCCGAGACCTTATCAGTGTATTGCCTTTTTATAACAAAATTCCAACTGAGGAAGCAGCAACTTTAAATAGTAAGCATTCAGTCAATAGAAGAGTATTAACTTGACCAAAGGAAATAATGCTTTGTGTGTTTGAACAGCCAGCTCTCGTCATGCATTTAAAATAGTACCAACAGCAAAAATTATAGTGAGCATGAAGGTGGTAGTCATAGAGTAGTTGAGCCTTTTCTACGTCCCTGCCACTGTTCTAGCCCTTTCACATTGTAATATGTGCAGCCCTCCTAACTATTATTTGCATGAGATGCTAAGCAAGCCTGCTTTTTGAGGAGATAAAATTGTAATTGATTATTAAAGGAACTTGCCTAAAGTCTCAGCTTGTAAGTTTTAAAGAAGGAGCAGTACACAGAATGAGGCGAAGCTCTTGGTCAATCTGAATGGCCTCTTATGTGGCCATGTTAAACAATCCATCCATGTGCCACATTGTTCAGATTTTACACTGGGAAGTGGCCTCTCTGTTCTGATTCCCTCTGTGGGTAGATCACTCCCTATGACTTTCCTCAGGGAAGCTGTTAGGATTCTCCTCTCCTGCTGGTTGAGAGTCCTTCCTGTTTGCACTCTGCCTCCTGGGTTGCAATCCCCTTTGTTTCTCTGCTTGTCCTGGCCAGGTTTCTGTCCTTTGGTTGTGGCTCATTTGCTGTGTTCTCTTTTTGATAGCCTGCCCTCATGGGTGTTTGCGGTGCAGCTCCATGGATTGGTGTCACCTCTGTGACCCGGGGTTCTTTCTGAGGAGTGGTGTCTGTATTACCCGCTGTGTTCCTGGCTTCTCCACACATTCCTTTAATGAAACATGTGCTGGTAAGAACTTCTCCTGTGTCTGGTGAATTTACCAATAATCTCTGTGCAGGGGCTGGGTTTTTGGATACAATTAATGACTATGATATAAAATGCAGAATTCTTCCTTAGAAAGCCCTTGGTGCTACTAAGGAATAGGGGACTGACTACAGAACTTGGGAAATTAGGAAAAGTCAACTTGTGTGGTCTTGGGAATGAAAAAAGAAGTGATCTGTATCTAACAAGACAATTATCAGATGAAAACTTTGGCACAGATTTAGCTTTGTTCCTGATCTACAGACATGTATAGCATATTCCCTATGTTTACATGTATAATTATTTATTTTTCCTATTAAACTCGTAGCTCTAATTATGCAAAGATACAATGGTAGATCTTTTTTTCATGCAGTGAAGACAAATTGTACGCAGTGTCTAGTCTGAGGAGACTAGGTTTCCATGATTGCAGTGGATGGATTTGAAGACACTCTATTTGCTCTTCTAAATAAGGTACCATGTTAAAGGAAAGGAGCTAGTCCCTTCCAACATAGCAATGGACACCTCCCCTTAAAAAACAAAGAGAAATGAATTCAGTCCTAGTTTTGAATGCCAAAAATTTTAGAGGTAGCTAAAGTTTGGAAGTTAAATCACAGCTTGGTGTACCCTACTATTTTAGCATTGTTCATGGGGAATTTTGTAACATCCACAGTCTGTCACTTATTTTGTCTCTATATTTCTAACCTCTAAAGATATTAAGGTTCTTCCAAAAGGAAACAATATATTTTGGACTTATATTATTGAAAGTTTTTTTGAAACCCCAAGTGAAAATCAGCTTACACTTGTGGGGCATAATAGAGATCAATTTAGGAAAATGTATTCCACTTTCACTAGAATAATCTGTGGTAGAAATTGTCCCCATGAAACTCTGCATTCCCCATATATGCGGACATGTTGTGGATGGGCGCCTCAGCAGAACACCTTGCACAGGAGAGAGGGAGGGCTACCTCATGGCAGGGAATCCTAATTCAGCCATCTTATGTTACTTATGGATGGAGACTGCAAAATTTTAAAAACAAAAGTTTATATATTTTACATGAATTGGGAATACGTTCTACCCACAATCCAACTTCCTCGAAGATTAACGGGCATCCTTGTACAACATGGTATCAGACACCTATCTCTTTTCCCAACCTTGATGAATCTGATGTGACAAGCATATCAAGATCAGACTAGATGGGCTAGGGATATAGCTCAGCAGCATAAGCGCCTGCCTGGCAAGCACAAGTTCCTGAGTTCAATCCCTGGTACCACAAAAAACAAATAAAAAGATGAGACTAGGGTCTCCAATCTGACAGCACATTAGATTACCTGGAAAGTCTGTAAAATTAATGTGGCCCATTCCGGAACAGCTCAGTGACTCTGTAACAGTAGAATCCAAGGGTCAGTATTATTCGTCAATGAAGTGAGGAATTTTGTCAGTATTGTTTTAAAATTTCCCTATGTGAGTTATCATTATTGAGGCATAGTGCAGATACCATAAAATCTACCTTGAAAGCACATAATGCATTGGTTTTTCTTTTCCTTGTCGTTACTATCAAATATCTAGTTCCTGAACATTCTTATCACCTTCCCTCTCCCCCAAATAAAACCCCCTGACCACCGACAACCTCTGCTCGGTTTCCTCTCACACTAGCCCCTGGAAACCACTAACCTACTTTCTGTCTTTATAGATTCACCTACTCCAGACATTTTACATAAATGAAGTCACATTTGGCTTCCTTCACTTAATGTGATGTTGTGCTCGCCTTGGCAGTACAGAACTTAACACAGTGTTCTCAGGGTTCTTCCATGTCATAGCTTGCGTCCATACATCTTTCCTTTTCTTATGGATGAGTATTATTACATTGGATGATTGTACCACATTTTATCTACTCACACTTTTGTGTTTCGTTGGCATGCTGGGGATTGAACCCAGAACCTCACACATGCTATGCCAGCACTTTACCCCCAAGCCCTGTACCCAACCCTCGTTTTTTTATGTGTTAGTTGATGGATAATGTATTTGTATTGTTTCTACTTTTTGGCTGCCATGAATATGCTATGCAGAAGTCTTTGTGTGGCATATTCATTTTTAGTTTCTAGGGTATATACCTTGGAGTAGGATTCTGGGTAACATGGTACCTATACAATGTTTCATTGAAGAAGTGCCCAACTACCATTTTATTTTA